GCCGGCCGGCCGACGCGGTCGTTAATCAGCCGGCCGCCCTGCCGGCTAAGCTGTGGTTCTTGGCCGGCCGGCCGGCCCGGCCGGACCGTGATTCTTGGCCAGCCGGCCGGCCGGTCGAGAAATAGCGGGCCGCGATAAGCTCGCAATGAAATATATATTGTATAAATATACATATATATACTTATTTATTTGAATAAAATATATTATTGTAATGTTTTTCATGATGTATATATATATTTTTGGTTTCAAATGTATTTTATTCAATAATATTCAACACCTGATATATATATATATATATCAAATATTAATCAATTTTCAAGAAAGGACATTTTATGAGAAATCTTTATATGTTTTCATGCAACAAGGTTTTTTACGCGTATATATCTATCTTTCTTTTAGAATATATATATATATATATGTTAAATGTTTCATGTGATTGGATGTGTATAGGAACAAAGATTCTGACACTAAACAAAACTATACACCATAAAAGTCATGCGAAATCCATGCAAATCCCACCAATTTAATCCGTGACATCGATGCTCGTGGTTCGAGTCGTAGGAATCAAATTCCCTTTCCGATCCCTGTTTGCGCAATTCCTGGCTTCTTGCTTTGCCTATGTTTGAGAGGCTCATTAATGCTGCGCCCCAGTGGCACTCAAGCAACGACAAAGTCCACGAGATTTGCAATATTTGAGCACCCAATCCTCCAGGCTCAAGGCCCAAAAACAATTCCAAACACTTCAACGTGGCCCACGGCCGCCCACGGCCCTTCGTGCGTTCCAAAGTGCGTTCCCGGAAAGTTGAAAAGCCCTTCGAGCCTAGGACGGTGTGTCGGAGCGAACCCAACATACAACATAACCAACCGTTTGCATGGTTAACCAACCGTTTGCATCAAGTTCTTTCTTCAAATCACCCTGCAAAATTATGCAAATACTTTGGTGGGAAGATGTTAGAAAGCACAATTAGAAGCAACAACAACACCAACAGCAAGAGCAAGAGCAAGAACAAAAGCAGGAGCAAGAACAAGAACAAGAGCAACAGCAACAGCACCACCACCACCTCCACAACCACCACCACCAACAACAGCAACAACAACAACAACAAGAACAAGAACAACGATAACAACAACAGAAGAACAAGAACAATAACAAGAACAAAACAACAACAAGAACAACACCAACACCAGCAGCAGCAGCAGCAGCGGCAGCGGCAGCGGCAGCGGCAACGGCAACGGCAACGGCAACGGCAACAGCAACAACAATTCTCAAACGCAACAGCTCCTTGAAATTTCCTTCAAAGGGAGCGCCGGTCAGGATTGCAGGGACCAAGCCATTGAGTGCAAATGTCTATGCTGGAATTGATTGCAATACAAGGGTACACTGTAACAACATGATCAAACAAAGAATCTGTTCAGTCAAACATGAGAACCCAGTTGCGATGACCCATGATGGCCTCCAACCTACTTGCGATGGCCTCCAAACCAAGAATCCATGGAGCCACACACGGCACGAATTCATCATTGCTTTTTTCACGAACTCAAAGCAGGTCATCATATCCTGAGCCTCCCTGCTCCTCAGGGCTTACCGGATGCAGCGTCACGCTCCTCGATGTGCAAACCTGAGCTTTGACCCTTTTTTATATCTTGACAGTTTTTTGAGGCGTGGGACACATGCATGACCAAACCGAAGCCATTCTCTGGCAGAAAAGAAAGGCAGTCGGACGTCCAACCACCCCCCTACCAGGTTCGCAGTGCCACTTTGACGTCCAAACAAGCTCCCGGGCTAAAGGGCCATGACGCAGGGTGCTGGGCCTGGATGCTGTGTGATTTGTGGTGCACAGGGTGCGCGGTGTACGGAAGACATGGAGAAGACTCTGGCGTACATCCCCTTGCTCCTAGGACATCGCTACTAGTAACAAGGGCATCGCTACTAGGAGGAAGTACATGGAACGTCCCCATGGGTCGGCGTAGCAACCTTTCCGTCAGGCTTGGAGGTACGGGACACCAAGCAATGACATGTTTGAATGCCCAGTGAAGAACGATCAGTACTCCTGTACTCATCTGATCTGATTATCAAATATAACTTTTTGCAGGTGTGATCCTTCAAACCAGGCGGCAAGGGTGATCGTTCCACAGCATAGGCGTGCATCCAGGAGCTGATGCCTGTCGACGGTTGCAAAAAATACATCGATGATCTGAAGTGGCAAGGACACCAAAGATCCTGAAATTGACAGGCTTGTAGTTGTAGTGATCCCAGGATGTGAATGTGTATTGAGAGATTGTTGCACTGAAGAAGAAGAAGGAAGAAAAGAAGAAGGAAGAAGAAAAAGAATAAAGAAGAAGAAGAACAACAACAACAGGGCAAGGACCAGGTATGATGTTCCTGCACTCTCTCGCTCTCCATTCGGCTTTAAGGTCGTGTGATTAGGTTTGGAAGTGGTGGATTTGGGTACTCTGGGTAGACTGTGTTCAGACGAGCAAAGGCCACAAAGCCCAAAGACTCATTTAATTAGAGGTGACTCGACCCTGTTGCCACAAACTGAGCCACTACATGTTGGAACCCCAGCCTGTTGACATCCAGGCTTAAAGCCAATTACGTAGCACATCACAGTACCAAAGTTCCAGTGAATCAACATCCCTTGGCCCCACTCGTCAGCCGCTTCAACACCCAAGGGTCTCCCACCTGCGGACAAGACGGAGAGATCGCCAAAGACCTGCCGAATGGTGGGGCGTCCAAAGGATACGAAGCGACCACGTCTTCATCGTCCAAGAGGTTTTTCGATGTCATAAATCCTTCAGCTGAAGCCCTACGAGCTTGACTTCTCACATGCGCCATAGGAAGCATACGTTCTTTAATCAGCCTCCAAAGTGTGTGGCGTTGTAACAGAGCAGGATTGACCAAGAGGCTATTTCTGCCCAGTTTTCTCCTATCACCAGTAGCAGCCAGAACCATTCAAAAGTTTAACACAGCCTACAGCTCAAGCATAGCTCAGCATTTGCTCAAGGGAGGCTATTAGTTAGACTTGTCGGTTCGCCCTTCCGAGTGTCCAGCTCGAATGCCTAGTGGTATATAGATTCTATATAGTACGAGTATATAGTCGTTTATTATATATATACATGCAAATGACTATATAATGTGATTCCTATGTGATGCGGGGATTCTCTCGCTGCACCCGCATCATGCATGTCCATGGGGCCCTACACAGGCTGAGCTGCAACCAATGTCTCGACACATGACCTGGTGATACCCAGTCACTGCCAAGCGTGAGATCACCTCTGGTGCCTTGGTGAAGGGGCGCGAAAGGAGACGATGAACAGGCGACTTGTGATCTTTCAGGCTCTTACTTCTCTTTAAACTTGGATGCATCATGATCATGATGTTTAACTTCTCAATCTCATTTTTTTTTGGGGGGGGCATGTTCAACTTTGCTCCAGGAGTGTGTGTGTGTGTGTTTTGGGTTTCTTGGTGCAGCTACCTGCCATGACAGCCTTGAGCCTGGGATTCCCCTTCACACTATGGACGGAAGAAAACTGTTCAGGCTTTCTCCTCTCTGCTTTCAGGTCTGACTTGTTCCAACCTTTCCTCAAATGTATGTGTTGGATTTTGTTGGCATGTTTTGTGGGTGCTCGGGCTGAGATCAAGGTGAAGATGTCACGCGGCAATACGAAGAAGTGATCATCCAACCTGGCAGAACATGCGCAAATAACATCTTAAACGATGTCAATCACAAACCATCCAAAACTTGTTGGGTCGTGGGTGAGGGAGGCTGGAATATACAATATATCTGGGTGAATTAAACTAATTTCATTAATTTCGTTCACCTCGTACCTCGTCTTAATTCAATGTTTTGAAATTATTCACCTCGCCTCGTTTAATTTGAATAATTTCAGTCACCTCGTCTGCCTGCCTGCCTGCCTGCCTGCCTGCCTGGCTCCTGGCAGGCTGGCTGCTGTCTGTCTCTCTGTCTGTCTGTCTGTCTATCTGTCTTCTTGACCCCCAACCGGCACACGCACCCCTTGGGAGGGACGTGGCTGATCGGGGTTTGCTTGTGCTTGGCTGGCACGAGTGAGCGGGTGGGTGGCTCCAAAGCCTTTGAAAAAAAAAGTGTTCTCTTGAGGGGGGGTGGTCTATGTTTAATTGAGCTGCAAGGCGCAGTTTCCTGACCTACTTGGGCTGGCTAGGGCCTGAGACAACATCAACAAGGCTGCAAACCAATCCACAGTCGTGAAACCCTATTTCGCAAAACTAGGGTTGTTTCATGGGGCTTGCCTGTTTGAGCTGTTCAGCACAGTTTCCATGCCTAGTGGGGCTGGCTAGGGCCCGAGACAA